CCACACACCACCACAGCAGTACTAGCCCCCCCCAGCCAGGGGTATACCAGGGGAGCCCGAGGATCCGGCAGCAGGACAGAGAAACAGTCTGAGGGGGATCAGGTAGGAGGGGACACAGCAAACCTCCATGGCAGCATCCGCATTAATGACCAGCTGAACTGAACCAGTATCCTCCACTGTGGTTGGCAAGGCTCTCACGCAAGGTGCCCCCAGTAAGTTGCTGCCAGAAGGGGGGGTGGTGGTAGGAGGCAAGCCTGCAGGACCAACCACCCCAGGGAGTACCTGCACCCCAAACCTCATGGAAAAGAGGGGGCAACTACTTACCAAACCAAATTATAAAAAGTATGGTGCAGTGCTACCCTAAATATTGCTGTGAGCAAAAAAACAAATATAATAATACAAAACGATATCTTAATGGTGACTAATCATTATCCTTCGTGCATACTGTGGATAAATATGCCACTCACTCACCAGTCATGACGTGAACTGATCCACTAGGGGATTCATAGTGAGACAGAAAAGTGAATAAATGTTGAAAATAAACATCAGTGAAAGAAAAAAAGTCCTGATGGGACTACAATAAAGTGAAAGATATTAAAAACATAAAAAATGGTGAATCCCTAAATGTGGGATCAATTATCACTCTGACAATACTGGGGACCACAAAGGCTATAAATGTGCCAAATAAAAGTGAAAAATAGATGAAAAACTCCATGAATCCATAAATATGGGATTAATTATCACACAGTAGTGATAACTGCAGTAACCGAACAACAAAAATATGCTAAAAAATAAATATACATAATAAAAATATATCACCAGAAATGATTAACCAGAAAAACTTTTTTTTAAAAAGTCCAAAGAAAAAAAGTTCAAAGGTGCGTAAACACCAAATATTCCAACGTCTTCAGAAAGTGCAGGTAATAAAGTGAATATGCATGACAACCAATAGGAAATAATCCATCAACGGCTGAATTGCCCTCTCACCTCCCTCCCAAAAGGGCCAAAACGCCTGTTAAGAGACCAAAGTGACCTTCCACGGTTTGGTCCCCCCTTCGAGGATGATATCCATCCACAGCGGTGATATCCCCTACAGAGGTTAATAGAAGAAGCAGCACGGTGGTGACATGTGGCTTTATATAGGGAGTCAGTCTATCAAAGAAAGAAAGGCGGACCTCCGGCGGCCATGTTATTGAGGTCCTGCATAGAAGACATATGGTTATATGGTCTCTATGGATTTTTAGTTTAATAAGTATGTGCATATATATTTGAATAAATAGTATACATGTAGCCATATAAAATAGTATTAACACCTGCATCTTCATCGCTAAGTAGTAGAAGTAGTGGTGAGAGCGGCCGGAGGGGCTCGGCAGGGTGTCCCGCACTCCCGGGTTGCTGCGAGCCTCTCACGCTGAACAAACACCAGCACACTGACTGGCCCGCTCCCTCTTCCCTGTGCGTTATGAGCGGCCGGCCAGGCTGGAGGCTCCTCCCCTGCAAGGGACGGGTCTGAGGTGCCCCGCTTCCGCCCATTGCTTGCCCTTGCACCTGCTGCATGTTTCCCCGGGTGGGCAGCTGCTCACAAAAGCTGGATAGATGTGAGCCGGGCCCCCCTTTGTCTTCGGGGAGGTGGGATCTGGTTACCCGCAGAGCGTGTGCCCTACAGTCGCTCACCTCCCACGGAGGCTTCTCCTCAGCACTTGTACGAGGGCTGGCACCGGGGCACACAGCCTGCTAGAGGGAAGTACACAGCGACCAGCAATCCCAAACTTTCCGGGATCATACAAGGAGCCTCAGGACAGACGGCTTGGAATACTGGCCATACACACTTCAATTTTACTATCAGATCCAATCGGCAATCAGATTAACTTCCGTTCTCATCAAATTCCTTCAGTCGATTGACCAGGGAGCAGAATGATCGACCGTTTTGCATCAATTGGCCGCACTGAGATGCTTTTTTCCATCAATTGTACCATATTTCCATCAATTTATGAGATTGCATAGTGAAAACAGGGGTGTTTTCAGATGAAACGTTTTGGCCACCGAAATTACGGTGCATCCCTAGTTATTGGTTATATATTGATTATTCTTATCGGGAGAGATTGATCGGAAAGGAAATCAATTATTTATTGAAGCGTGTATGACCACCGTTTGCATTGCTGGAAGATTGTTTCTCATGCCTTGTTCACACGATGAGAAAATTGGACGAAAAACGCTTTCTGATAATTATCTGATCATTAGTACTCCGCTGTTGAGGGCTGATCATGACAGTTCATGTAAAAATATCCAAAGGGACAGGCACAAAAATGTTCTCGTACAATTACAGAAAGAACTGTTGAAAATACATCCTACATATCAGATATTTACATTACGATTCATAATAGTAGCAAAATTACAGTTAGGAAGTAGCAACGAAAATAATTTTATGGTCGGGGGTCACCACAACATGAGGAACTGTATTAAAGGGTCGAGGCATTAGGAAGGTTGAGAACCACTGCCCTAGTGGATCAGTTCACTTCATGATTGGTGAGTGGCATATTTATCCACTGTATGCACTGAGGATAATGGATTAGTCACCATTAACCACTAGCCGCCCAGCCACTGTATAAAAATGGTGGCAGGGCGGCACGGCTGGGCAAAAGCACGTTTTAAAATGTGCTGTTTCAAAACAGGTAGGGGGCGCGCGCGAGGAGCGCCGCCGTCCTACCTTCACCGCCGATCTCAGCCGCGGATGTCAGTCGCCGGGTCACAGCCGGTTATTATCAGCTGTGTCCCGGCGATTAGCGGCAATCAGTGACAGAGAGCAGGGCTGCAGTAGCTCTGCTTTCTGTCAGTTCCCGACAAGCTGACCAGGAGAAAAGTTTCTCTGTCCCCATCAGCATGTCTCCCTGCAGTACACACCCCCGCCCCCTAGTAAAACACACCCCTCACAGTTAACCCTTTCAGTGCAAAAAAAAAGTTAATCCCTTCCTCCCCAGTGCCATTAGTACAGTGTCAGTGTTTTTTTTTTGCACTGATCACTGTATTGGTGTCACTGGGGATGTCAGTGACCCTAAGTCAGTTCCCCCCAGTGTCAGGATGTCCGCCGCAGTCCTGCCATAAGTCGCTGATCGCCGCCATAAGTAACTGATCGCCGCCATAAGTCACTGATCGCTGCCATTAATAGTATAAAAAAAAAATTAAAAATCAGAGTCTCTTTCCCGCCAATTGTAAACGCTATAACTTTCACGTGAACCAATTAATTTACACGTATTGGGTTTTGTTTTAGCAAAGACGTCGCAGAATGCATTTTGGCTGAAATTTATGACGAAATTTGATTTTTAAATTTATTTTTGCTGGACATGATTTATAGCAAAAAATACAAAATATTGTTTTTTTTCTCAAAATAGTCAGCCTTTTTTTTATAGCGCAAAAAATAAAAACGCACAGGCGATCAAATACCACCGAAAGAAAGCTCTATTTGTATGAAAAAAAGGACATAAATTTAAATTTATGTACTGTATTGCATGACCACGCAATTGTCCGTTAAACTAGCGCAGCGCTGTATAGCAAAAAAATGGCGTAAATTGCAGTATCTATACTATAGTTTGTAGACGTTATAACTTTCACAAAAAGCAATCAATATACAGTTATTGGGATTTTTTTACCAAAAACATGTAGCAGAATACATTTTGGCCTAAATTTATAACTAATTTTGAGTTTACTATATATTTTTTATAGCTGAAAGTAAAAAAATATTGTTTTTCTTCAAAATTTTTTTGTTTATTGCGTAAAATAAAAAGTGCACAGGTGATCAAATACCACCGAAAGAAAGCTCTATTTGTGTGAAAAAAAGGACGTAAATTTTGTTTGGGTGCAGCGTTGCATAACCGCGCAATTATCAGTTGAATTAGTGCAGCGCCGAGTAGCAAAAATAGGATGGTCATTAAGGGGGGTAAATCCTCAGGAGGGCAAGTGGTTAAGATATATTTGGGATGAGTCATACTGGGTTTTAATACGTTTTGTATTATTATATTTGTTTTTCTGCTATAAGTCAAGGCAATATTTAGAGTAGCACCGTACCATACTTTTTATAATTTGCACTTATCCATTTGGTATATGGTTGGGTGTTAGCAGCCCTCTCCTCTTAATTATCATTTGTATTATTTAGTAGCGCAGGAGGCCCTTATTGTGTTTTTACTTACCAATCCAGCGAAGCACGCAGGCTCGCAAGACAGAAAGAAACCGTTCATGGGATAAAAAAAAAAAAGATTTAAAAAAAGCGCTTTCAACAGCTTGTTTAAGGTCATATGGAAAAATAGGGATCATGCATCATGACACTTATGTTCGTGAAATTAACAAATACCATGGGATAAAATGAGTAGTGGTGTTATAATAAATCATCCATCTTTGTGAATTGAACCTATAATCTGGGCACGGGTGCACTTTAATTTATCAAAAAATCATACAAACTCAGTGCATTAAAGTACATGTGAACCCTCAGGCCTGGTTCACACTGAATGTGACTTTCAAATCGCACTACTTCACTGGAAGTAGTGCAATTTAAATCGTGCAGGAACTATTTTTGAAATCGCACTGCTTAAGACCGTGCCATAGAAATACCTTAGATGTGACTTCATTTGTGAACCATGGCTTACTCTGTAAAACAGCCCATTCAATTTAAAATAGAAATGAAATACAAAGTGTGTGTGTGTGTGTGTGTGTTGTGTGTGTGTGTGTGTGTCTTCTCAAAGAATGGCCATGCACGGGGAGGAGGGGGAGTGTCTGTACAAGTCTTGGCCACTGTAGGACAGGTAGGCTGTGCTTCCACACCTAGCATGGTCAGTTTGAAATAGGAAGGCAGTGGGACTGGCGCAAACATTAGGTATTTCACATGTAGGAAGTAATAAAAAGAGAAAGGATACATTTTGCAGATGTACATGATACAGCAGAGATAACAGGAATATGAAATGTTGAGGTAACATTCTCTTGAACTAATTTTGTACTATGATGTGACTCACCACCTTCCATGGTGCTTTCTGCCTGAAGTAAATGTTCACTATTGTGGACTTCAAAAGATTCAGAATAATCTTCCCGTCTTGAGACATTTAAGGATTTTGTATATTGGTTACCATCTTCTTCATTACATTTTGAATTCTGTATCTTGCCAGACAGCCTATCCACTTCATGTTCCCCTTCAGTTTCAGCTAAAACAGTCCGTAGGGGTTTATATTCTGCACTATCTGCAGTTTCCAACATTTCAACATCTTTATTGACATTTAAATCAAAGGGATCTCTCTCTTTTGCCTCTATCTGTTCAGATTCCTGCATTTCCCAATATGGTGTAATAGTTCTATCATCTTTATCTAGGAGAAAGGATTTTGAAAGGCTTTGATGTAACTGGAAAGGCCTAGCATCCCCCACTGTTAAAATAGAGTTCTCTGTGCTGCTGTTTTCTTCAGCGTGTTCAGAATCTTCCACCATCAGTACAGATTTGTCTTTATCTTGATCTTGTTTTGATACAAAATGGCTGATATTTTTCAAAGCAGATAAAGATGTATTTATCTTTTTATCTGATTCAAATGTATTGTCATCCTCCCCCACAGGTAAAGATTTGGCCATGGTTTGATTTGCATCAGGGTGCTCAACATCTTTTACCATCATTACAGATTTCCATATATTACTAGTTGTTGCAGAGTAATTAGCATTTTCCGCCATCATTTCAGTTGTAGGTATATCTGAAAACATAGCTTTAGAAGGCACATTAATGCTGATGTTAGCAATATTTATCTCTGTGGACATATCGCCTGTGCCACGTTTCTTTTTCTCAGTTGAAACAAGACTGTTAGATATAATAGGTATTTTCTCAGAATAGACATTGTTTGTCTCAGAGAATACAGGTGGGACATAAAGTTCCGTATTTAACTCTGCAACTCCTCTTGTAGAAATAGATGACTTGTCCTCCACAATTGATTCAACAAAACATTCTTGAGAGCCTAATGGGGAAAAAAAGCATTAGAAATACTGTAGAATTAAAAGAAAAAAAAAATAGTGCATCTTTATGTTATCTTATTGAAATGTAACAACTAGAGAGATTGCAGCATACAAAAGTGTGGTTCGGCTTCCAGTGAAAACACAATCTTTTTTACATTAATTTTGATAAAAATGTATTTCTCATGAATTAATAAAAAAAAAAAGAAAAAAGAAAAAGAAGGGGTACATAACAGAAAACTGGCTTTGCAATTCATTACACCTAGGTAACATACACTACCTGTGATTGGAAGGCTACAGGGAAAATACCCCTGTATAGCGCATCCGTGCACTGCCAGCTAGTCTCAGCTTTGCAAGCCATATGGAGATTAGAAGAATATAGGGGAGCAATATGGAGATCAGAAGAATATACAGCGCCTTAAAAAAGTATTCATACCCCTTGAAATTTTCCACATTTTGTCATGGTACAACCAAAAACGTAAATATATTTTATTGGGATTTAATGTGATAGACCAACACAAAGTGGCACAGAATTTACAAGTGGAAGTTAACTGATAAATGGTTTTCAAAATTTTTTACAAATAAATATCTGAAAAGTGTGGAGTGCATTTGCATTCAGCCCCCTTTACTCTAATACCCCTAACTAAAATCTAGTGGAACCAATTGTCTTCAGAAGTCACCCAATTAGTAACTAGAGTCCACCTGTGTGTAATTTAATCTCAGTATAAATACAGCTGTTCTGTGAAGCCCCCAGAGGTTTGTTAGAGAACATTAGTGAACAAACCGCATCATGAAGGCCAAGGAACACATCAGACAGGTCATGGATAAAGTTGTGGAGAAGTTTAAAGCAGGATTAGGTTATAAAAAATATCCCAAGCTTTGAATATCTCACCGAGCACTGTTCAATCCATCATCCAAAAATGGAAAGAGTATGGCACAACTACAAACCTACCAAGACATGGCCATCCACCTGTTACAGTCTGCAAAAGACTTGAGACTGGGATGTGGTGGGGTTCATCTTCAGCAGGACAATGACCCTAAACAAACAGCTAGAGCTACAATGGAATGATGTAGAGCAAAGCATAATCGTGTTAGAATGGCCCAGTCCAGACCTAAACCCAATTGAGAATCCGTGGCAAGACTTGAAAACTGCTATTCACAGACGCTCTCTATCCAATCTGACAGAGCTTGAGCTATTTTGCAAAGAAGAATGGGCAAAAAATTCACTCTACATGTGCAAAGCTGGTAAAGACACCCAAAAAGGCTTGCAGCTCTAATTGCGGTGAAAGGTAGTTCTACAAAGTATTGTTTCGGGGGGCAGAATACAAATGCACTCTACACTTTCAAATATTTGTAAAAAATTTTAGAAAACCATTTAACATTTTCCTTCCACTTCACAATTATGTGCCACTTTGTGTTGGTCTATCACATAAAATCCCAATAAAATACATATACATTTTTTGTTGGAACATGACAAAATGTGGAAAAGTTCAAGGGGTATGAATACCTTTTCAAGGCACTGTAAGGGAGAGATGTCCTGTACTGTACTCCAAGAAACAGATTTGACTGGCAAGTCAAAAATCTTATCTTCCTTGTTGACCAGTACAGGACAAAGGCTCTGTAATCATTACACTGAGGATTCCAAAAGTAGTCCAACAAGAGTCAGACAGCATAGCAAAAATGCCAAAAGGCCTATAATAAACAAAATGGTTCAAAAAGGCTTGATGGGCAAACAGGAGCCTGTAGCAACTTACACTTGAAGCTGGCATCATAAGAGACCTGAATCTCCATTTAGTAGAACTTAAACGTGTTATCAGAAGCCCAGGTGGTAGCCTTGCAAACGTGAAGAAATAGATGACTGATGCTGAAAAACCCATGAAGCGCTAACAGATCAGTGTCTTAACAGGAAAGGGAAGAACCCAATCCTTCACACTATAACCCTTATGATATCTTGCTTGTTCCTCCAGCAATGGTGGAGCAAGAGGCTGCAAGACCCCTGCAGCTTTCAAAGGGAGGGCTTTTCTAACTCCAGCGCTGGTTTGGAAATCCACCACTCTATGGAGAGTCTGGCCTTGGGGATCAGGCATATAGGAAGGTCACTGTTGGTCACACTCTGCCAGAATGTTGAGCTGCAATGGTGTGGAGTGAAACTGGATAAATGACACAACCTCTAAGGAGGCAATCTTCAGACCCAAGAACCTCATGCAGGAACAAAGCGAAGGCTTCCCCTAAGCATGACAAGAAGATTCTGGGCAGGGCAGTGTCTATTGTCAAGCCAGGTACTCTAATATGTGGGATGGGTCAACTGATGAGTTGCTTAGATTGAGGATCCAGTTGAAGCTCTACAGTGTCTGCATTGTGTAAGTTGCGGGTTACAGGAACAGGGAGGATTGGTTCATTAACAGGAGATAAGCTAGATATCCAAGAACACAAATACCCTGGGCACAGAACAGAGCCAAAAACTGGGGCAAGCACCTTGCTGAAAATTCAGGGTGCTGTGCACAGACCAAGGGGAAGGATAACAAACTGGTAATGAAAATCACTCACTAGAAAAAGCATAAATAACACTAATGAGACAGAAATATTGGAATGCTTAAGTAAATATCTCTGATGTCTATTGAGGCCAGAAAATCTGCAGAAGGAAGCAACAACTGACCTAGCAGTTTACTCGGGGAACTTTTGAACCTGTAGGAACATATTGAGTCGTCATATCCAGAATGGGTCTGACTTTTCTGTTTTGGGGACCAAAAAAGGTTCAAATAAAAACACTGAAAGCATTATTTTGCTAGTACAAGTCTAATGACCCCTTGAGACAAGAACTACTGGAAAGCCGCAAACCGATCTACCTGCCATGATGGAAAATGGGATGAGCTAAACAGCATAAAGCAGGAGTAGGCAAAGTGCAAAACTCCAAATGGAGCCTTTCACAATGAAACACTGAACACTGAGGCATGTGGATGAAAAGAAGGCTCATCCTGGAGATTTAAAGCAGAACTAAACCCATGGATAATGGTTTCTCAAAACAGTTACATTCAAGATATATCAAAATTGCTTGTGCTCTCAACTAACCTGTTAAGCCATCAAATAGCTGGTGTTATAAATGATCAAACATGCAGCATCATGCCAACTGCAGATCAAAAGGAGGCTAAGATGGCAGCTTCCTTGGCTGTAAAGGATAAAAGACTTTAGTTCCGCTTTAACAAAAAGTGTGCTTCTACTATGCTGTTCATGCAGTATTGCAAGGCCATAGGTTAAAAGACTAATTAACTGTGAGCTGAGGCATCCATTAGGATGGAACTGGGATTCTTGTCAATGTGCTTAGTCCAGGTAGCAATTGTCTGGCAAACTGTCATAAAAGCAATCATAGGCTGCATGCTGTGGCCTACCAAGAAGAGACAGCTTTCAAGAGGGCCTCCAGCTCCTTTATCTACTTGGTCCTTAACACAGGATTATAAAGACAAAGATAAATATAGGAGTGTGGCGCTAATGAATATGAATATGTCTCAGATGATCTAAAACACAATATGATGTATAAGCAAAAGATCAGTGCATCAAATAAACCAAATGATAAATAATGTCCAAATAAAATGAAATAAAATGAACGCAGGATCTTGCATAAAAGATAAAAGAACCAGGATCCAACGGTAAAAAAATGCGCACTCACCGGACGCGCTATGGAAAAGCGCATATGTAGCATGACCTTTAGGAAACCTTCATCATCTGGAGACGGTGGATAGCCATCCAGGAACAAGTGATCTCTGTGTAATGGACAATTTCAAATCCAGGAATCCCTTTAGAAATTGGATGACTAATGAGTGAGGAACTCCCTCCGGTGGTGAAGATAGGTAATTCCTGAAATATGTTAGCTCCAGATGGGAGCCAAAAAATCTCTCATAGTGTAGTAAGTAAAATGTATTTATTCAAAAATAAGTATCATAAAAGCAAGACAGAAACACTGTGACAGTCAAACATGAAAAAAACTGAAGTGTAACTGACCCAAAAGTAAAATGGCCGCCGGGCCTCCTCGTGGCTCCAGGCGGCTAGATGTCACGCTCTGCTGGCTCCTCCTAAGGCCTTTCGTGCTCCAGCACATCATCAGAGGGGAGGCCAACAGAAGCATGACAGACCTCTCTCCCTATATAAACATTTGTGCGGTAATCGCGCATGCGCGAATCGGCGCCGCCATTTTGCCGTGGTCGGCACAAGTGCGCATGCGCGGAAACCGCGGGCGCCATTTTGTCATAGGTCTGAAATCTTATTTCAGACAGCACTCTCAGCTGCGGAAATACTGTGCCACCACAGCACACCACAGCTGATCCTAATTAAGTCCAGACCTTAAGCACTCTATAGTAGTGCATGTAGTGCAGCACCGTCATCATATTAATGTTATTGACGTCCATAAGGAGTCGCTTAACGGGCGCCATTCAACTAAAGGTCATAAATAAACTAATATCATGTTATATATAATCTAAAAAAATTAAAATGCAAACAGAAACGCCAGTGAATCTGGCTGCAACATTACAATATTAGATATTAATTATGTTGTTTTTATAACACAGAAATGACAACACTCAGAATTCTTAAGCAAACTCAATGTGCAATAAAGATACTATTACAAATTCACACATATGAGATATATAATACAGAAATGCGTGGGAAAAGATACAAATAACCTCCATTATAAATGGTTAACAATTGTCATAATGCTGCCAGCATATTTAAAATCA